ACTCTTTCTGCAGTCACCCAATCCGAACTCAGCTTGCCTGATGCATCGCGAGCGTGCATGACGAGAATGCTTGCACGACCCGACAGCGGGTTCTTTGAGCTCCATCCTCACAAAGTTAACCGCAACGACTGATAAATGAAAGGTTGATATATTGACATCAAGATGAAGGATTATTGATTATTTAAAGAAAAAATCAATCAATCATGCAAATGACAAAAATCAACGTGTCCTGTAATTTTAATTTCTATTGAATATAAGGTGATACAATCGACTTCCAGTCAACGGTATTTTGGGGACATAAATCGGTGAGAAAATTGGGCAAAATTCATCCACCAACGCCAACCGAGATGATTTCAGTTGTCGAGATTTATGCGTCTAGACGAGATGTCCGCCAGGCAGACAAAAGTATATCTGTGGTATTTGTTGAATCAATATCATCTTTATGGTGGTCTACTGATCGGTCGTTTCTACGAATTCGGGAGAATTGGTCAGTTTTCATATATGGTTGCAACTGTGTACGACGGAGAAAGAGAAATATGGAGCACGGATGTGTAAGTAAGAAAATCAATATCTCAAGTTAGTGGCATTATTGATTGGTCAGCACAAATGCTAAGACTTGAATATTGCAACCCATATTTTCCACTGATTAAAAGTTTTCTCTTAGTTTGTTTTCTATTACATGTATAAAATAGTCGGTGAAATTTAGTCGACAGAAGTCTACCAGACTCCCTTTGTATATTTAGTTCCGTGCTCGATTTCCAGGCCCTGGTTGAACGATGTACACCTCACTTACTCAACCAAAACCGGCGATAGTACATGATTAATGGTTGTAGAAACGGAAAACTGAAGCTGAAACACTCATCTTTCCTTTCACACTGTAGAATATGGATAGAACAGATTATTGGCGCCACCTGTTTCATTAAAAAAGCAACATGGTCTCTTTGCCACTATCGCCGATACGAGGGAATTAAACGGCGTCACTCTTATGGCCATATTGTGTAGAAACTAGTCTTGAAAAAAGCGGGGGGCACATGATACGAGAGGTTTCGTTTCATTCGCGTCTCACAAATCGCTTTCCGTAGTTTTCAAAGACGCGTTTCATTTGGGTAGGGCAAGATAGCCCGGGGTCTGAAAATCGAGCACAAAACCAAACAAATGCAGGTGGTCTTATAGACTTCTGACGACTGAATCACACCGATTCAGTCTGACGTTTGTCTCTGAAATGGTAGCTAAAAGTCATATCGATTGGAGGGCAATGTCCTTTTCGACATGTAGGGAGTGTGTTACCACCACAACCAACATCATGATCATACAGCCTAACACAGTGAAGCGAACTTCACTGATTGTTGCCAAACTCAGTGCTCACAACGTAAGTGAATGTGTTCCGAGGACAGGGGTTGGTGTACGAAAGGGAACCTCTATAATCAACACAGAGTACAGTCTAACTGCACATACATACTATTTCAAGCATTCTGGCCTGATATGAAGTGACAGCAAGACCGCTTCTACTGTAGGTTTGCTGCCATGACCCCCAGTGTCTCCAATCATCCACT